GCGCAAAAGGAGAGGGACATGTAATGTGTGAAATAATATAAACTCGAACGGGCCTATACGGGAATTAATGGGACAAAGATTGTAAAGGTGAAAAGAGGAGGAGTTCGAAAATGAGAGGGTGTGTGAGAAAATACCTACCGTAAACGACAATACAACAAGGCAGACATCACAAAACATGTAGACATTCAAAAACAAGTACATGTAACAACACAGACATGAAAAGCACGTTGAAGGAACACAGAGGGGGGGGGGCGCCTTGGAACGGTCAGTAGTAGTTAAACCACTGGGGAGTTTAAACCGGTTTTAGACGCGGCAAACCTCACTCTTATCCCCAATATGTTCCTGCATGAAACGATAGTGTAAATAAAATTAATTCCCGCCAAGTAAAATTCTAATAATGGTCATGGTGAGACAAAATAAATAAAAACATTAAAGATTGTGTAAACATGTAGAAAAAGGTACAGCCTAATGACCATTATCAAAGTACTCGATGCCTTAAAGGAAGGCAGAGCAACAAGAAAATCACCTACAAGGGCCCGACGAAGCAAGACAGAAGACGAACATAAAGACAATTCAGTCCCAAAGGGCTTTAAGAACTGTCCATTATAGAGTCTCCAACTTAGTCCGTCAGATGTAATTAAAAGAGGAAAGCGTAGCGTCCAACTTTATAAGGGCTGAACAACAAGATGACAGAAACATTACTATGACCCATGATCTTACGAAGTTTGTTGATCACCTCTCCATAGAAACCAGGCTTGCTAATACCTTGTCGTAAAAGAGTTTTCAAATTACAATTAAATTTTAAATCTTAATCTGAATTACGATAGTAAAACTTAGTAAAAGTCATATAGAAATGTATGGTTATTAATCTTGGAAAATAAAAAAATAATTAATGTATGTGTTTCTAAACAAACCTGTTTTGTTTCGGTAAGTGAACGCAATGTCTAACACAAACATCTATGCAGTCGATACGGCAATTTTTTTTATAAAAACTTGATTAATATGCACATATTATATACATTATATCAATTGAACACATCATTTATCATATAAAATAGTAGACACTAATTGGACATCATAAAAAAATTGTACCTGATAAGTTCTGATATTATTCTCGTTATTTTTTACACAATTTATAACTCAGATCTTGCGTAAAACACAGATATACATACAACGGATAGGAAGCTCCGGAAATAGACACTAGTCAGACTCACGTTTCTTTGCGCCCGTTTTCTCATTAGTCTCCGAGTTTTGCCTCTTCGTTTGTTCAACTTCTGCGGTATCCGTGAATTTTAAGCTAAACTCAGGTTATAGTTTTTACGTAAGATAAACTCTTTATTAGAAAATGTAATGAGATCTGAAAGCAAGAAGTTACACAGAATTAAGATATCTGAGCAATTTCACTAGAAAGTTAAATAACTATCCTGTAAATTTTATTTTAGAACTATCCTCTGCAATTTATTTCATAATGTCAAGAACTATCATTTATAGTTTTTGTTTAGAACTATCTTAGAATAACAAGAACTATCATTTTATTTTTACAATTTATTTTAGAATGGCAAATGAGTTTCCCATATCTAATTTTGTAATTTTAGTATGACCAATTAAAACTCGTCTTTTCTTCAGTTTTTCCCTGTAAATTGTACAGGACAGACCGTGACGGCCGTTAAAAATGTTTAATAAAGAGACGTCAGTGTTGTTTTATTTGTCTGGTTGATGCCAGCACAATTAAGTGTTGAGAATGGAGTACCATTCAAGCCGGTGCTAGCGGTGTGAGGGGTGTTGCACTTATTCGATATCCCTCATGTACAGACTCAATTAAACCGAGTCTTCAATTTTCATGTTCTTTTGTTGGTATTAATGCTTCCGAGAGATCACTTTGTTTCTAGATTTTTATAAAGTTTTAACAGTCAGAAATATGCGATTAGCACCTTTGCTGTATTCAGAATTCAGAATGTATATGGAACATTTTGTTCTATGGAAGTCATTTTGATATTAGCGGAAGACGATAGAAATTGTGATCATTTAACAAGAGAAACAGTTGAGAAAAAAAAAGACAAATATGCAATTTATTATTACACATTGTATCTGAACTATCATATAAATGTCATTTTGCGTTTTTAAAATATTTCTTCGTTTTCTGTTAATACATTGTGATCCCCACTCCTTCAAATCGGACGAGTCTATTTGTTTATTGTATCGTATAGTCTATTTCAGGACACTTTGACTTAGAAGTAAAGCAAATCACTTGCAGTTGTCACAAATCTCTATATATCTTAAATATTATCATTTACAAGGTTTAGATAAGAAAATTGCACATGTCTTATTCCTCCTTTATATGCTCGCCTTCATAGTCACTTTCTAATTACTTCCTTTAACAGCTGAAAGTGAACATACATTTATACTCGTTGACAGATCTTAAACTAAAATGACTTGCTTTTTGTAATAAATATGCAATACATATGTAAAGATTTACCTCTATGTCGAAGTTATTTACTTCATGAACGTAAACATAAACAACCACCTCTGTCTTGTCACATTTTATCCCTTTGACACATATATTTATCGTAGGAAATGTACTTTTGCGTGTGGCTCCATTTTCCTAAATATTACACATAATTGAAATCCTCAAAAATCAAATGTAAAGAACTGATCGCTGTTCATCTTGTCGCTATGTGCAGTCTATCTGTTATAACGCAAATTCTGTGTATGATAAATGTACGTGATATATTGAACGAAACAGGAAATTGTGTACATAAGTTTTTCCTGCAGATATAAGTTATGATTAAAATATAGCAAATTCGACTGCTTTCAACTATCACGTAATGTGTCCGTTTGTTTTATAACTACTCGCATAAGTTTATCCATTCAAATCAAATAAGAAATATTTAAGCGCTTGAATGAAACACTTAAGAACCTCATACATATGTTTTACTTTAAACAATCTGGACTGATACTCGACATGTATTTTCTTTAGACGGTCTGCAAATACAATTATCGAGAGAATGCGCAAAATCGTAAGAAATAACACAATCGGATAAATACTTGAGACAGACTTATTGACTGTAATATATTTGTTTAAAAGCTTTAGAATATTTGAAAGTAGAGCCGATTGGATAGATATCATTCTTAGAAATGAAAGGCTGTTTTTCTTTATCCTGAGTATTTGTTTCAGTAAAAAAGTTAGACACCCTTTTTGTTTTACTTGTTAATTAACTTTATCCGTCTGTTTACAGAGAAGTGGCAACATAAAGGGATCACCTCTCTATCCGTCCGTCCACAATTTCATCCAAACGTAACAGTACCAAGTCTTGTTGTGCATTTAGTTGGCATTGTCCGGTTCAATGATTTTTGTCAGAGATATAGCCCTTTAATAATTTAAAAGAACCTTTGAAAGATACTTTAATGAAATAACAGACAAAAATAAAAGACGTAATTGTGCATAAAACACCACTACAAAGGTATTCTAAAACCGGGTGTAGTAAAACGATTTAAAATTTATTCTTGCAATTAAATTTTAAAAAATCATAACGTGGTGTTGGTCAGGTATCGAACCAGATACTTTCAGATCAGTAGTTCGACATCTATACCAATACACCAAACCTCAATGACGAGTGAAGTTAGCAAAAATATCGATATATTCGATAGGTAATAGTCAATGTTTATTCATATGACCTTTACGAAAATTAATGAAGTGCCAGGTCAATATTGTTGGACACTATATTGTTACAACATAGTATTGAAAACTTTTTTATACTGTAAGCAGGTATCGGCTTTTAATCATATTGTATGTAAAACATGGAAATCATACAGTGATGAACATACTTCCGCTACCAGTATGCTACGCACTCTATTCCATTGTAGGCAGAGAAAGTTGAAGGAAACTAATTTTCAAGATGTCACACCTTCGGTAAGTGTTCTTGCAAATTTTTAAACAAAAGTATGTCCAATGTATTACACAAAAATTCAATATGAAGCCTAAAACGATCATGCATTAAGGGTATCACTTCCATTGATAAGTTAAAAAATATTTAAAACATGTACAATGATAAAGTCTTTTAGCATAAAAAGATGTTACCGCCTATGGGGCCTTTATAAGAAAACATTATAACATAAAAATGTTACTTTATTCATTCATAGCCATTAACAACTCACTTGAGGAAAACTTTCCAGAATCATAATTATAATTCTTTTACAGTGTTTTACAAAGATCCCTTAGATTGTATTTAATGCAACAATGCAATAATGTCGGTAATGTACAGCTATAATTATTTAACTGCAATTAATACATCTCTTTCAATATTATTTGACCACAAATACTTACGTTATAACTTAATATTATTATAATGCTTTGAAGGTGTGCGATTGTATACTACTATTAACAAATGATAGGAATATCAAAATCACCACTTGAGGTTTTTTTTCCTATAAATGAAGTCTTAGATGGTGATATTTGCATAACAAATAACGGTGTTATTTATTAAATATTGAGAGCAAGAAAGGGGTATTGTATATCTACAATCAGAGTAAATTGAAGAATGCCTTGTACGATTGGAATCAAGCTGAAATACCGCGAACGTAACTATATTATTCTAATTTTTATATTGAACAGTAAATAAGTAATGTATTCTTTACTTCTGTTGACTGCTGGTAGAGAAACAAGAAGAAAAAGAATATTGAATTTCTGGTACTTGATGCTGATAAGACAAGGCAAAGCAAAATAGTTGAAAAAAAAAACATTGACGCATTTGATGTTGAGAAAAAAAAACCATTGAACTTAATTATAACGTTGATAATCTTGTCAGTGAAAATGTCCTTAGAAACTTTAGACAAGAGGTTGATAAGTAATAATCCGGACCACAATCTGACGAATGAAGGGGCAACATAATATGCGTATTCGTTGGGTCTCCGTTTGGTAACAGAAATAGATATGACAAAATTCGATAGATAATTTGATAGTTGATATACAGCTTTAGAATTACGGTAGAGTTAAGTTAGTATACTGAAGATGATTGTGTTGTTAATTAAGATTATGCGGATATTGTATATGATGATTTTGAATTTTGTTAAATGTAAATGATGATTAATATATTGACGGCAAAATGAATTGTGTAATCATTTGAACCATTTTTTTTTCAAAATTGTTAATTTTTCCCCTCATTCAAGTGTCAAACTCCATTCTTCGTACATATTCTTCTTAAGCGATGTCATTCTTAACACTCTGAAAGAAAACAACGCAAATGAACAATTATAATTATTTATAAAACTCTAAGTATCAATATAAATAAAAGCTTGGGAAAGAAGAACCTAGCATTATGTACGATAGGTTTTTCTTGGGAAAGAAGAACCTATCGTACATAATGCTGGCTGCCATCCATACTACATCTATACCAGAACAATGCTAAACTTTTAGTCTTTTATATGATAAACGGTAACAGATATAATTTAACAGGAGTACAAAAATTCCTTTAAAATAAATATAAAAAGTGAAGTAATTATTCTTCTCAAATGGTTACCTTTGATCTCAGACGTTTCCTCAATAGCACAATCATACCGCATATTATCACACCACATATTGTCCCGCCAACAGTGCCCACAATTATGCCCGCGATACTGTCATTTTCTGTGATTATAGCTATTTCATCACTTTTTATATTCAATGTTCCTGGCTCTGCTTTCAGACGGTATACTTTTGCAACTACTATCGAAACGATATTTGACACTGCCCCTCGGTTTCCAGCATCGTCAACTACTTGTATAGCGAAAAATGTAGTCTCGGTGTAGGACTTTTCAGCGTCTACAACAAACTTTATTGCTTCCGTTTGACCAGCCTTTTGAGGTATAAGACTTGTGTGTGTCATGTTCAATATGGCAGCTGAGTCAAAATTGTTTAAAAGCGCATCGAAGTCATCAGAAACCCGCATTATATAAGATGATGCTGAAAGGAGAAATGTATATTTTTAAAACATTGTTTTGAAATTATTGGGCATTTCAGAAAAAGAATACCTGAATAATTTTAAATGGATATACTGCGTACTGGTACAAGCTGCAATTATATGTGAGTTATAACATTTTGTTCATGTGTATAATTTTCATAAAAAACAACTTGCAACCCGACTCATTTAAGACAACATACCGCGTCCCTGATTTCTATCATCACCGGTTGCAGTCCAACTAATTGTGAAATTTCTATTCTCTCCGTACACGGACGTTTCTTTTACAATGTGATATATACCAACATTAGTAATTCGTCCAGGGGCGACAACATCAGCAGAATCTTCGTCATTGATATCTACAGTAACGTACAATTCTTCCATCACTTGAACCCGTTGAAATGATAAATCAAAAGGTTCGGGCTCATCTACATCTTCTAAAAACATAAAAATAATTTCTAAATTATTTCGAAAGCCATTTTATTTTTTATAAATATTTTTTATTCATTCATAAGACAGAACCTTCCTTTTTATAACTTTGTAAAAATGTGGATGTTTGATATGATATTCCAAGATAATTTTTTATAAATCATTCAAAACCGACTTATTTAATGCTTTGATGCAACTCGTAACTACTTGAGTGCATAACAAATAATGCTACAAGAATAAAAAACAGATCAACTTTCCTTCAGGCAACTTTGTAGACATGCATTACTCAAACAACATTGTAACAAGAATTTGTTTCAAAAGAAATTGAAAAAATAACGTTACATTTACAATACAAACACTCTATACCTTCTATCAGTGATGGGGCACCAATAACCTTTCTAGAAATTCGAGTCATGCCTTTTTGTCCAGATGCACAACGTGGAAATACGTATCCGGAGTAACACCATCATCAGCAAATGCATCAGGATCTAGATTCTAGATAAATGAAAACACGACTGTAATATAGCCTTGTTTTAAGCTTATAATTCAGTCAGTTCTTACCAACGCCTTGAGCTATTCATTATAAATGAATAAAAGTTAGTCAAAAAATTACTGGAATCGTTTTCTTCAGAAATAACTACTTTAATACTTGCCAACATCATGATATGACATTGCGACTTTCTAGTACAAAAAGACTCTTCAAGCCACAAAAAAAACCCCAAAAAACCAAAAAAAAAAAACAACAACAAACAACAACACAAAACAAAAAAAAAATAAAACAAAAATGTGATTTATGTGGGTCTACACACGTTTTAAGATATTGTGCTATAGTCATTTGGCTTACCATGTCCATTATCGAGAAGTGACAATGTACATCGCTTATTATCAGCTTCAACATGTGCTTCTACCGATGCATTGATTACTTGTGAGTATCCCTTCGTAACAGTAGCAAACGCTACCGGGACGTCGCCAGAAGAAACGTCAATCTTTGACGCAGAAAGTTGCGTTGAGATTTTGATGATATCAGGTTTTGTAGGCGTTGAACTTACATAATATTCAATAGTTTGATCGGGGTTTGACATTGATATTGTCAATAGATATAACCCCGCCTAGTTCAAAATAAAAATATTATTGTAAGTGTAAAACACATTGAAGTAAATTTGAAAGAAATTTTAATGATGATAGTTTTTTTTCATTCAACTATATTTGAATAAAATAGTATCTTAATATTGTCTTAAAATGTTTTATCTTCATATTAACAACCATGCATTCTGTTTAACAAAAGTGTAAATCAGTACAGAAATGTCAATATATCTAAAAAAAACTTAAAAATTATAAAATATGTGATAGTTATCCTACAATAAACGTATATCATTAAAATCATAAAATATTTACAACTGTTGAAGAATGAATCTATACGAAGAAAATGATATATTGCTTCCAATCGATCTTCCCTACGTTTTTCTATATAAATCATATCCCAATATCAAATTGATATTGCAATGTTATTCTTATTATAGTGGAAAAATCTTATCGAATATGGAAATAAGTAAACAAATGATACATATAGGTATGATCAAATGAGGAAGGGAGTCAAACTTCCCTTTGATCGCTTAAAATATTTCTGTTATTCATGACCAATTATCATTTTCTTATCATGTAAACAAACCAATACACTAATTTGTATCATTTAAATGTGAAATCTGAATGAATATAGCTAAAGCCAAAGAACGAAAACATATATTTACTCACCTCGGCTATACCATTAATAAGCATCGTTACTTGCGTTCCGTTCATGGACAGTGCTTGTGTGAATCCATTTGGTCCATAAACTTCAAGGTGTAGTTCTTGGTATGATCTCGATATAACTGTAATTGTCGTATTAGCTCCAATACTTTCTTCTATTGCAATGTCAAAATTGAGAGTTGTTGAATTTGTTGAATCGATCTTTTCAGACACAAGCTTATAATAAACAAAATAAAATATGAGTTATTACAATTCAAAATGTTACTGTATATCCTGCTTATTTTCCCATCTGTTATGATTTACCCGTAACCAATCGTAATCTTATTCTTAATATGTTACTATATTTAACGTTGTATATTTCTCTGCCTTTTACGCTGATTTAAACAGAACTGTGTCACATTTCGGCAGTCAGTGAACCAAACCGGCTTTCCCAGGTAACAAAGCAGTAGTTGCCAATTTCTTTGCAAGTGACCGACCACGAGCAATACATGGTTTTTGTAATTAGCGGTGCAATCTCAATGGCCATTTGACTCAATGCCCAAAGAAATAATTCTCCTCGTTCGAGTTAAAAACCAACGAACTCTGGATAACTTATCCAATGCTTCACTATTGAGAGCAGCATCGGACTAAATAAAGGTAATTGTTTTCTTAGATTAATGTTACCTAACTAAATAAGAATGAAATAAATCCTTTAGTGATGAATGTCTATGGTAAACAAGTGATACCTACTTTTAGGCATTTACAATAATCTTACAGACTGAGCTTTGTAGTTAAGTCTCTATGACAAAAGTATTTTCTTGACTTAAATTAAATGCATATTTAACCGAAATTATAACAAACGTGATAAACTTACTGTTTCTTGTTGGCTTGCTGACATAGTATTATCGTCTTTTATTGATTCACTGAACGTAGCAGCAAAGCTGATTGAACATTTTTCAAGGTATATGCAATGTTTGCCACTAGTTTCTTGTGCAATTTCAGCAAGGATGCTATCCGCCTCTTGTGAAACAGCTATTGTGTTTACAATTACTTTCTCGCTAACAGCTTTTTGAATTGATGACCGAATGTTCCCTCTGTTGTTTTGACCATCGGATATCAACACAATTTCAGTATTTTCAGTACTTTCTAGACTTAATTCTAAAATCTGTAGTCATAACATCATGCACATAATTACATACATGTAATGACCGCAATATAATGCAAAAAGTAAAAACTAAATATTTATTTAAGAACATTAATACTTTTAACTAGAAATATTTTCATTACCTCTATTGCCTCTTCAATCCTTAACAAGTATAACCTTTAGTAACTGAAGGTAATGCAGATTTTAGGGCATCTCTATCAGCCTGTGAGTTGACCTGTATAACAAATGTTCTAGTTGATGCTGAGGTGCTGAAGGTAACGATGCCAAGCCAACTGCCTTGTGGTATGACATCTTGTATGACATACGTACATGTCTGTTGTAATATGGTGAACTTTTCCTGAAAATGGCCATGGAAATAACGTTTAAGGTATGAGTCCCTTAATGGGTACTATAAGGAACTATAAAATTGACAACATAGGTCAGTTATATACCTAAAAAGACACAATAATGCAAAATTTAAACAAAGTTTACCGTATGGTTTACGAGTTATGAAGATTTCTCTTAAGTAAAGATTGGCTGTTTGAATGGCTCTTTTTCAGAAACGAGAAACTCTAAATATTCTATTTTATAATCATTATGTAAAAATGTTTTCCTATAGAACATGTTTGAGAAACAAATAATAGCATTCAGCTAACAAATGACCCAGCAAAATTATTGTTTCTACTCAAAATGATTGTAATATGTATATAAATGTTACCCTACCCCACCCATTTCAAGCACTTGTTTGATCATTTTTCTAATTGGAGGGCCTAATTCAAAATATCCCTAAAATTTACTCAAATCAGGGGCTGTTTTCAAAGTTTGCATAATTTTTTTTAAAAGTATATTGGTTGCGCTTGTCAAATATAAAATACTTTTATCGTCTAGTTTTTATTTTATTAGACTTTGAAAATATCAGGTACCATACTTGATAAAAAATTTGGCACAATTTAGCCAATAAATACCAATAATAATTTCATAATTAAAATGAAACACTTTTTTCTTCTCAAGAGTGATATGAGAGACACAAATAATGTTCAAAGAAAAAAACAAAACAAAAAAGTTGCCGCTTTTGGGGCTTGAACCCACGCACCTCAGTTACAATGCAGTTGACAGTAGTTCTAGCCTTTTTGAATACTCTTCAAAGTGGAGGTAATGCATTTTGTGGATCATACCTCAGCATAATTCGCCATCAATTAATCTAGGTTGACATGCATCAATAATTATGTTTTACTTTTTGTTACATAAACACTCAGGTTTAAGCAAGTAAATATATATTGGTGGATAAGTAGTGGCTATGCTTTCATAATGGTTCTGCTAGGCGCTGTGTCGTTATTGGACTGGCATATCGATATGGTGATATGTGTGTATTTATTTTCTCATTTCTATAATTATATGCCCACTTGTATCTTTATTTGCTCCCACGAAGGGGAAGTACAACTGCATTGAATTTAATTATCTCCCTTTATACATAATCTGTCTAAATTCATTGTATCTTACGAATCTACTTGATGTTGCAGATCCAGTTGAATTTCGGAAATAGATATATAGTTCTCTGGTCCAAATCAGTGAAGGAGACAATACAAATGTCATTGTTGATTTGTGAGACATAATAACAGAGAAAGAACTCTATATATGCAAATGTTGAGCCAATTTCAATGTGTAGTGCAGTTTGTGACTGTATATAAAGCTGTCTTGAAACCATCAACAATAAAAAGAGACATGGGATAAGATTTAGAAAAATATTAATGGTATCCTATTGAAGCCTTTATTTCAAACCATATACATCTAAGCAAATGAACTTTCGGCGTTTGCACAACGTGAAGTTCCAAAATAAATATTATTTAATCCAATCAGACCTATTTAGCTTAGTTTTCATTTCAGTCAAACAAATCTTTATTAAACGATATCATATTGCCTTGTTTAAAATTTCGATATCCAAAAATAATATCATATTCATCTGTTCGTGAAGTAACAGGTTTCTGTCAAGAGGACATTTCTCATTATTGAGAACAATACTGATACTATGACTCGTACTCAGCTTTAAAAACCTTTGTCAGAATCGACTTGTACCCCATCCAATATAAGTTGGCAACTGTGTACTCGTCCAATATAATTCAGTATTGCACTGAACATTGTATGTTTACCTTCTAATATCATAAGTTTATACATAAGATGCCTCTTTATTAGTTAATATTTAACATGTATACTTATTACAAAACAATATTGCACAACAATGTCATAAAACATATCAGAAGATATGATAAAATTGTCGGCAATTAAAAAAAACAAACTCACAAACTGATCATTGTTGGTATGTATTAATTGTTTAATATCTTTGTTTAAATATACATGTAACACACTTCTAATTCTCGTAATACGGAAATTGAATAAAAGATTTACCCCGGCCATACTTTCCAGAAATATCAAGGACAAACACTCTATGTATTTCGTTTGAACTTTTAATTATACGGTATTAGTGTCTAGTGATAAGATAATGTTATCTGAAATAAATATACGTTATCAGGTTTGCATATTGATACATTTTGAAAGTTATATCAATGCAATTTGTGCATGAAGGGTTGCACATACTTGTTTGATGTAGAGGAAACAAAGGAATAATTAGCTGGAGTTTATGATAGATGAGCGCATGCGACAGAAACGGGGTTTCTTTTCAAACAAAAAAGTCTCATTAACTTATGTATATAAAGTTAGTTCCTTTTTCCTTATTCCGTATTGCTTTTTCAAATAAGAATAAAGGAATCAATTTCTTATTCCTTTTTCGAATAAGGAATAGGGAACTAGTTCCTGATTTCTTAATCAAATCTAAATAAGGAACAGCAAAAATAGTATTTATATAAAATAAAAATATGGTTGATCAGCAATCTAGGAAATTGCACAAATCAGTCACAATAATCATAGAATAAAGCATTCCCATCGACAATAAAACAATATTCAAGTCGAACAAGGAATAAGGAACCCGTTCCTTATATCTTATCAAAATAATTGCATAAAACATCTGCATAAAAATATATTTTGAAAATATGTTTAAGTCGAATATGGAATAAGGAACCCGTTTAATATTCTTTAAACCACTCCGAATAAGGAACAAAAGAAGATGCACAAATAGAGACAGTTATTTCTGATATATCTGCATGAGAATTGCAAGGATCAATCATTTAAATAATTGAATAAAGCATTTGCATAAAGTCGAATAAGGAATAGGGAGCTAGTTCCTTATTCAACTCTTAATAACGAACAAAAGAAAATACGTAAAAAAGACATCAGTTGCAGTTATTTTTGATTCATCTGTGAGTAACTGCAATGATTTAAATCATGTAAATGATTGACCCATACAATTCATATGCAGATATATCAGAAATAATCGCAAATGGTGTCTTTCTTTCTATATTTTCTTTTGTTCCTAATTCGAATATGGAATAAGGAATATGGAATAAGAAACTGTTAACCTATACCTTATTCGACTTTGACATTTTTTTTTCAAAATATTTTATGCAGATGCTTTATTTAAAGGGTATAAATCTATATCTTATGAAATATTCTAATGAAATTTATCAACAGAACAATTATATCGGTTCCATTATTATATGGCTGTTTCCCGAAAAAGTTGTATCATAGAATGTCCCTGTTATTTAATACACATGAAAAATGTTCTGGAACAAAATATTATTTTGCTATTGTAAGTAGGGTTTTGTGCATGGACAACTCGCTTTAAGGCAATTTATTGGAATTTTTAATTCATACAAACATTTTTATAAAATCCAAACAAAATTTTTTGCATCAGATATATAGCTTTGTACACTTAAGATATTTTAATGATTGATCCTTTCAATTCTAATGCAGATTTATCGGAAATAATTGCACCTGGTATCTTTCTTTACGTATCTTCTTCTGTTCCTTATTCGTCTTGAACAGTTTTTCCGAATAGTTGTATGCAAATGCTTTATGAATCTTTCAAATGATTGATCCTGGCAATAGTTACGCAGATTTATTAGAAATAATTGCAATTGCGTTATGTCTGTGTGTATCTTCTTCTGTTTCTTACTCGGAGTTTAATGGTTCCTTACTCCTTATTCGACTTGGACATTTTTTCAAAAAAAATTATGCATATTCTTTATGCAATGATTTCAATAATTGACACTTGCAATTCTTATATGCAGATATATTAGAAATAATCCCAAATAGTGTCATTCTTTGTGTATCTTCTTATGTTCAAGGTTCGGTGTTCAATAAGGAATAAGGAACTGGCTTCCTATTCCTTACTCGACTTTAACATATTTTTCAAAATATTTTATGCAGATGCTTTATTTAATCATTTTAATGATTGATCCTTGCAATTCTTATGCAGGTATATCAGAAATAACTACAACTGCTGTCTCTTTTTGCGTATTTTCTTTTGTTCATTATTTGGAGTTGAATAAAGAATATTAAATTGGTTCCTTATTTCTAATTTGACTTTAACATATTTTCAAAATATTTTTAGGCAGATGTTTTATGCAATAGTTTTAATAAGGTATAAGGAACGGGTTCCTTACTCCTTGTTCGGCTTGAATGTTGTTAAAACATATGTCGATGCAAATGCTTTATTCTATGATTTTAATGATTGATTTTTGTGCAAATTTCAACCAGATCTAGGGGCTTCATAATGAAAGACACTGATTATATCTAACACTGAAGAGACAGTATGGCATATTTGACACAAATAATTCTTCTCGTAAAAAGAAATAAAAGCGGCATCACACCAACTGCAACACACATAATAATACCACGAAATGAAATTTGCAAACTAGAAGAGACAACATTTTTTTTACATTTTCCCACAGCAAATTCAATTCAGATCATTGAAGGCATCAGTTAAGAAGCATTGTTAATTTAAGGATACACGTTTCCGCAAATATAAAATACTGAAAACTTTGTGTAATTAAATTATAGAACGTGACAATGAGAGTGTTCAAAACATTATATAAGAGGTACCACTAAAATATATGTTCAAGAGGGCAATAAAAAACAAGCTCACAACATTTATAGTAAAACGACCGTACATCAATCTGTTCTAACAAAAAAAAACCCAAAACATTAGCAAATCAGCAACTTTCCCCAGTATTGTTATACTACTGACTTCTCTCCCCCTATTTTTTCATTACATCCTTTGTCCCTTAAATTCATATCGAGTCCTTTTGGTTCTTTTCATTTTACTTATTTCTTATCGCTCCCCACCTTTCACCAACCTTGTGTCATCTTCCCATTTTTAGTTTGGTGCCATCTGGGCGCTCTGCTAATGTTGCTTGATTGAGTTGGGTGCTGTGTTATGTGAATGTCGCTTTGCCTTCTTGGTCTTTATTCTTATTGTTTTAAATTGTGCAAAAAACCTCACCCTAATCTCCAATATTTTCCTATTCAACAAGCCAGTAATAATAAAGTGAATCACCGCCGTTAATCAAATAAGAAGAAAAACAAAAACAAAAAAAGAATGATCATGTAGATATATAAAAACCGAAATGGGTATAACAAAGTCAATGACTTAAATGAAGAAAGAAAAGTAATAGAAAGAGTAATACCTGCACTCAGGTAACCCACTGTGCATTTATAAGTATACGATTTAACTCTGACACATTTCAATAGAAAGGTTGTCAATAAATGATACAAGCAATAATATCAACTATAAGGCCCCGACAAAACAAGGCAAAATTAACACATAACAGTCTTAACGGCGATTAGGAACTATCTAGATATTTTCAAAACAGGAAAGCGTAGTGACGAATTGTAAAAGGGCTATCCACTGAGCCTGCAGTATGCTTTGAAACAGTAGGGTCATAACCACTAATAATGATAATTAAACGTTTGATCTTTTAGGAGCTATTGAGATTATCATTTTAGCAATTTATATGTACTCAGTACTCAATTATAAATAATTTATGCCCAATACGTAAGGTCATATCAGAATAAAAACGAACCTTTAAAATCAATGTCTTTTCTCATAACCTCCCAGACGGTCTTGTATTTGCAAACAATGTTGTGTCTATTTGGTGCTTGTCTGTTAGGCCTTTGCTCAGAATTCACAGTTGAATCATCTTTATCACAAAATCTTTCAATGTATGATACAAAATCAATGTTTTGACAAACTTAGAGTTGACTTCTGCAAATATGTACGATAATTATGATATTATAAAAA